CAGTGACCATCACAGTATGAACTGCACGCTGAACACCTGGCTCATCGTTGCACATCTGGCTCATCGCTGCACATTACTCTGATCTTAGAAGTAGCACAGACAGAGACACAGGGGTAGGAGCGTGAGGTGGTGAAGAGGTACTAGAGAACTACAGACAGGAACACAAATACAAAAGGCTTCAGGCAAACCTTAGCTGCTCAGCGAGAGGATCATACTGAGGGGAGGAAAAAGAGATGAGATGACACCTGTCCAGAGCTTAACACAGAAAGCACTTTGCAAACATAACCAGTTCATTAATCATGTTCAATATTTGCTATTTTCATTTCATAAAATTCAGAGCATTGCCTCACAGTTTCTTTCATCAGTGGGACAACATTAATCCCATGTGCCAATCAAACTGCAGGGAGCACAGAACCACATCAAAGCGTGTCAGCCAGCCCTTTAACAAGGGCATGCCAGCAGGCAAATCATCCCTTTAAGAAGAGTCCCTGGGGGATGATACATTTTCTCTCATATAGACAGGCAAGCACACACAACCTCAACAGAGAATGGTGCATAACATTCTCATTATCCGTCAGCTCAGCTTATTAAATCTTCACACAAAAACACAATAATCAATGCAACAATATAAAAAAACAAAACAAAATAAAATGTATACAATTATGCATAAACAGTGCACAGAGGCAGATACATAATCAAGTTGCCACAGAAATACACTAAATTGATACATCTTATTACCTAAAAAATCAACATCATCATTATGACAACCATCCTCAAACAACTCCTATGCTGTGCATCACCTCATCATCATCATCATCATCATCAGCCATCGTACAAAACTAGGGCTGAGTTACTTACATCCATATCAGTAACTGTAAAGATGATACAATCTATAAACAGAATTCAGCAATTATTCACTCAAATGAATGTGTTCCAACTATGATAGCATCCAAAAACTCAACCTATAATCTTGATTCAATGTCAGAACAAATTTTTGGATGCATCAGTCAGTCATGTTAATCAAACACAGATGAAGGTGGGAGAGTCGGGTAACTCACTGCAGCGACAGGTTCCTTCACTGAGGAAATCATCACAGATAAAGGAACTGAATGTTTGTTTAGAAGTGTAGATTTTGTCCATGTGTATTTATAGGAATTGTTCTAATTTCATTTATGGCAAAATTATTTAAAATAGATCTGTTACATCACCACACTGGTGACAAAAAGATGCCAAAAGGTCATAAAGACCTACTGTGTGTAAAGCAGAAAAATCTTTTTCAGTTCGGTTTAACCAAAGTTCGATCACCAACATCTGCTCCGTTTGTACATCCCTACAACCTACTTTGCCAATCTCAGTATACTCAAAACTGATTCACACCTTGCCACACAAAATCCCCGTGAACAACACCAAGTCACAAATACCATGTTTAGACAGCACACAATGAAGAAATGAAAACAGGTTATCATGGCGCCACACTGCTCCTTCTAAACTGACTCGTCACAGCAGATTCTAGATGAAAATCTCTCCAGGTGTTAAGGAGCTTCAACTCTCTTCACTATCAGTGAAGAGGGGAAACAATTTTGTGGAGAGCAAACACAGGCAATACGAGAGAGAAATCTGTTCTTCCAAGACATTTATGCGTACAATATATAATGCTGCTTCAGTGTTTTTGTTGGTTGTCCTTTTGGCAATGAAACATGTCTAAAACATGTTTACAGCATTCTGCTAGTTTATGATCATATGTATAATGAGGTGCTGTGTGGAGCCGCGTGTTGAGAGAGCTTCCTACAGAGCTGTATGAAGTATTTTGTACAGGAGCCTGGCGCTGACAAATGCTTGTTAGTGACTGCGTTAACAAGATTGAACATGAAAACCTCCTTCACGCATCAGGGTTAAAAGGAGTCATTTTCCACAGATTTCCTCCCATCACCATGATAGCCATCTTCATTACTGCTGCCATTATCAGCAGCATCTGTCAGCCCTATCAGATCACCATTGTCAGCATCTTGGCCATGATTGTCATCAACAGTTTTATCTTCTCCTCCTCCCCTGTAGTGTCCAGAGGAGGATTTCCAGTCTGAGGCCACAAAGCTGCAGGGAAGCCTACATCCAGAGCAGCGGATGCAAAGTGACAGAAGCTGCATGTATTTATAGGCTATCTGAGAAGAGATACATGCTGCTCACAGCTGAAGCTATTTATAGAGCATTTTACTGATGCCACTGAACAGAGTAGGGGAAAGGAGATGCTTCTCCAGGGAATGACTTAGGCTCCCTTATATCTCCCTCTACCCCCACTCAGTGAAAGCCAGCCCTTCTACTCCCCATGTCTCATCTCCCCGTCCTCTCACTTTCTCAATTTTCATCTTCTGTCTGCTCTCTTCGTCCCTCCCCCTGCTGTTCTCTTTCTCTTTACCACCTCTACACCAGTCTTCTCACCATTTTCCATTTTCTTGCAGAACCTCTTTGCTCAGGTCCACATCCATAATCTTCCCTCCCCTCGCTCTCTGTTTACTGTATTCTCATCTTTCTGCTCTTTCCTATATCCACATATCTTCTCACTTCTTTAGTCCAACTGTCTTACAGTCCCAGCTACACTCATATCCAAAAGCCACTCATGCTGTTCATATGCAGAAAGCAGAACTATCAAAACTCTTCTCTAAATTCCACAACAGCAGGTGCTTGGGCAGAAGCTCAGACTCAATTTCTGAAGTGGTCAACTGATCCCTGTAAATGAAGTGAAATGGTGCCAGCAAATGTCTAATCTCTAAGGCTTAAGCAGTTAGACCCCCATACATTGACAGTGTAATCAAATGTTTTAGCCTGTAAAATGTGATGCCTATCTTAAGTTTTATTCCCCTCACATCCCTCCCAAATTCCCCTTCTGTCTTTTGGTTTTCTTCTCCTCACGCTTTTTGCAACTATTGATTTACTCTGGCGCAATCTGGTTTCTTGTTATTTTTATTTCAGTCTGCAATGAGTGTTAGTCTCTACCCTAGTGAAATTGTGTGCATGATCTTAAAGTGGCAGCCCTGCTAATGTTTGGCTTGTGTGCTTGCTGAAGTGTGAATGCATGCAAAAAACAAATGTGCAAATAAGTAAACACTGACATACAAATACAACAGCAAACACAGAATGAAGGCAAAAATACAACATGAATAGGGTCCTAAAATTACTTGTATCAGATAGAAAGTGCTGGTTATTTTTCAGTGGAGGGCGGTGGATCTATGAGCTGAATGGTGTAAAATGATGCAGGAGCTGATGTCAGCATGTAAAGCCTCCTAAGCTGTATGAACACATACAACACACACAGACACACCTCCTCCCACATCCTTCAGTGTGACAGCATGTTGTGATGCAGAGTGGCGTCTGCTTATCAAGCTGATAGACTTGCAATAACAGCGTGGTCAGAGCGCTGCAGACATGGGAGAAAAACACTGATTTTATAACACTCCAAACCACAACAACAAACAGCCTGCCAGACACGGGCAACCCAGTGCTCGGGATCTTCACCCCTGTTTTTTAGCTTTCCGATGCTGTGTCACTCTGATAGTTGAGCAACACCTGGTTCTGTGTCTCAGACTGTCAGGTGGTCATGCAATAAATGTATATGAAACATCCCGAGGCACAGAACTCATGACCTGCTGCTCAAAGTCAAATTAAATTATGTCTGTAACATTAAGACTAATTTGAGGAATTACAAATGTTATATAAAAGTATATTTAAATTATATATATATATAAATAGTGTGTATATTATTCAAAGGTGCTGTGCAGGAGGTCTACGAGTTGGATTTTCCCCAGCCAGTCCCCATCGCCTCCACTGTCACTCTGTCAGTCCACCTTTGTTGCACAGCCAACAGGCTGAAAATGGTAGAAAGAATTAGGAGCTGAGATAAGGAGAAGGTGAGTGGGATGTTTGGAATTCAAACTGAAAGGGAGAGAAGATGTGATAAACAGAGGTGGTGACCAAAAAGAGGCAGAAGCTCGTGGAACACAAGAGAGAGCAAAGAGATGAAGATGACAAGAGAGACACAGGGAGGGAGCGAGAGAGAGGCTCAGGAACTGTGCAGCTGTGGGAGCGTATTAAACAATCACTTCTGTGTCAGTAGCTCAACACACCAGCAGACGACATCTAATATAGTAGAAGCACATAACCAGCTATCACTGACGTAGACTTAGCTTTACTTTCTCGCAGGTCTGTACTAGACTGTCTGTTCACAGACAAAAGGCCGGCTGATTCGGCTCAACCAAATTCAATTGCAAAACATCCAGACACAGCCTGACTGGGGTTATTAACAAGGATGGAGAAACATGTCCAGTACAAATCCCTTCAACAAAATTCAAGTCAAAGTGCATCAATCCACATGCAGCATGAAAAGAATGATGTAGTCTGCAGAGCTGAGCATCAGAGCGACTTCAGTCTCCAGAGGAGCTGATTCATGAGCTGCTCAGTGCACTGACAGCAGACAAAGCTGCTGGGGATGGCATCCCCTTAATGCCATACATGGCAATGACACCGTCGCCAGGCAGGCAACAGGCACACAGACTGATGACATGTAGGCAGAGACACAAATATCCAGATGCAACCCACAATCACAAAACGCCTGTTTAAGGATTTATGGGTCCCACATGTAAAATCATTTACATTATGTATATGCATGCATTTTCCTTATGTATCCAGTAGGTGACAATGTTATTAGCTTTGCATGTCTGTGTATGTCGAGCATGTGATGAAGGGGGTAGGGCTTCAAGGCAACACAAGCCTCGAGACAAGAGAGTGGTTGCCTTGGAAACCTGAGGGCTGGCAAGGCTGAGAGCTCAGCAGCCGGACGAATGAGGAAAAAGAAGGCGCGATAGACAGTGAGAGACGGAGAGGACGAGCAAGTGTGATGAAAAGACACGAGGGCAACGTCCCGAGGGCAAGGAAGGAAAACTAGACAAAAAGAGAAGGAAGCAGAGCTGAGGGCGGGGGCAGTGATGGAAGGAGAGAAGGGGACTTACAGGGAACGGTGCGGAGGTAGAGGTTGTCTCTAATAATCTGCTGGTGGTCGTGGTCCACTGAGCCCTTGGAGAAGCGCAGGTTGAGATAGTGCCGCAAATCCTTGTCAACCACACCCCCTAAACACAAACACAGGAAGAGAGGTTACAGCTTGATTTCATTTTGTTGGAAGGATCTCCAAAGATTTCATTGGAGACACTAAGTATTGTTCCCAGATCACTCATGATGCAAGTGACACAATACTGGAAATAACCAGAAGGATTTCACTCCACTTGAACACCAAGCAGCAGCTTGCCCAGCCATTACCAACACACGCTGTGCAGCCAAAAACTGCATAAACCTGAAGAACTTCCAAAGATACCACGTGTGCATGGTGCAGCTCTAAAAAGAGCTTAAATATTTTTCTCAGTGCTAACAAACTCCATACTGTATAGCTTCAACAAAGAGCAAAAACAATGTAAGCAATGTACAGCATGTCAAAACTATCACACAACCTCCTTAAGAAGCAGTAAAAGGAGAAAATTGCAAGAGCCATGGAAAAAATGTTTAGTGGGTGAACATGAGACAAAATGGCTTAATCAGGTTGAAAGAACTTCCTCACATACACACACACACACACAGAGAGAGAGAGAGAGAGAGATCATGGTAATTGTGTAAACCAGTTATCCCCTTTGGGGCCACATATGCAGCATCAGCAGGCTGGGTGACAAAGGCCTAGAGGGGACAGAAGCCCACACCACCTCATCATCTCTGCCTCCTCTGTCTTTGCTGGTTATTAACTGTACAAGCTGTCTTCCTTCTCACCGACTCACTAAACTGTAACAAAGTAAAATAAATGACAAGGCAGAAGACTAAGAGCCGGCCAACCTATCTGCCCTGCACACACACTGTATGATAATGTCCATGAATTGTTTCTCCTCCCTCCATCCCAAACCAAAGAAGCCCAGGAGGATGAGAGGAGAACTTATTCTTCCCACTACATTCATTATGCAAGACTATCACGTACGACAGCTGGAGGGATGAAGTTATATGCTATGAATTTACAAATGACAAACATGGTTTCCTACTCATGCATACTCTAGTGACACCCTGCTGAATTGACTTGACAGCGTCCAACCTACCAGTTGAGATTAATGCAGCACCTACTTATCAAAGAGAACATTCAGCATAGCATTGGAACGGAAATTCTTTACATTCGTTCCCACAGCACAGACTGTGCAGATAAATACATGCATGCTGCTTACACAGGTGACAATGCTACAGTAATTAATCCTTTGGAATAACATCTTATATAAACAGACACCATTTATATGAATCTGTGATTTGATTCACAAAGAGCAAAGCAGGAAGAGAGAGGCAGAAAACAAAGGAAAATAGACTAAAATCTTGATTAACAAAATTAAGATTCTGTCACGGTTTCCATATGAGTAAACATCACATCATACATACATATATGTATTCAGACAGAAAATGTCTTTGACAGGCACAGACATATTTATACATGCAAGCCAACACGCACAGATATATGTTCAGAAAGAAATGGAGGCACAGACAGTCTAGCAAACGGCAGTGCAATCCAGGCACCTCAATAGCAGCCCCAGATGTTGATAACAGCAATCCTTTCTCCACAGGTATCCATTCACAGACAGCCTGTCCTCCCAGGCGTCCTCTAGCCTCGCAACCAGCCACCGCACATCTTCTGCCCCGTCGATGAAACCTCAGTGTCTCCCTCCTGCCTCTGCTCCAGCACACATGCAGCCAATTTTAATCCCAGAAAAGGCGAGGATGAGGGTGAAGGGAGATGGTGAGAGACACGGAGAGATGGAGAGAGACGACGACGACCGTCGGGAGAAAAGAGAGGAGAAGGAGATGTGCCAGTGGGAAGCTGGGTTCCCAGCAACCTGCCAGCGGATTGGCCAGAGAGGCTCCACAGTCCTGGAGCAGCCCCTATCTGCTGCTGCTGTTACTACACTGGAGCGTTTGTGAATTTGTGTGGTGTGTGTGTGTGTGAGTGTGTGTGTATGTGCAAGAGAGAGAAAAAGACAGAGAGAGGCAGACACAGTGCATAGGAAATAAATGCTTATTTGTGGGAAAGTATTTGTAGATGTGTGTCTGTATGTGTAAGAGTGCACCCAGTTACTCCCTGACATTCCTCAAATACTCTGCGTCTCGCCCACCAGATGCTTTCCCTGTTTGACCTTGTGTAAACGTCACCAACTGGAAAGAAATACTAGGAAACACAGCAGCATATGTCAAACTAAGGTTATGCATACTCATATGCACATGGATGGCTGATGAGTTCACAGCTGCAGATGCCAGTGAAGATGCCTCGAGCATTGTCTTGGTCAAGGTTTGGTCCAAATACTGGAATAAACAAACACCAACACAGAAGCACATGCTCACGATATGAGCACTCAGCACAAGGCACAGCTGAGTGTGGAGGAGGGGAATATTTAAAAAAAAGCTTTATTGGTACAAATGTTGAAACTGAGCAAGCTCAGTTAGGGCTGAGTATTGTTTTGGTTTTTCTGATAGTGGTGCTAAAATGATACTTAAAACCGTGCCAGTGCCTAAACGGTACCAGAACCATTACTTTAAAAAAAGAAGAAGCATAAAACCCGGCTATAAATTTCATCATCTTAAGGACAAGGCCATCTGGCCTTTGATTTCATACATTTTCGGAGGGCACAAAAGCCACTTGACTGGGCAGTAAGGCCAAGACAAATGACAAATGACAAGTGTATGCAGCTTATGTGTACAGCCTGAGCAGTAGAGTGACAAACTAGTTTGGTGTTCACAACATACATTTTATGTTTAAAGTGCAGATGCTTGAGGAATGATTAAAGGGAAATATGTAGAAATAGTATGGTAAATGTGCATCTTTCTTTTAATTTGGATAGCAAATGGTGTTATCTGTGCGGATTTAGACTCAAAGGCAAGCCAAGCTCTTATTGCTCTCTGCTGATGTTGCCTAAGATCACCTCACAAGACTCAAAGAAAAAAACAGAGGAAAGGATGTCTAATTTCTCTTAATTACTCTAACTGGTGCAGTACAGTAATTATATTCTTCTGGCATCATGATGACATAATGACCTGCATCACTTCTAGCACTGTTAAAACTAAAAACAATTGCATAATAGCTGGCAGTTAATGTATATTAGTACTTATTTAGCATATGCAATATTTAAAATAGCAGAGGAAACAGTACATTTCAACACTACATGTTTTACAGCCTCTAAGTTTTCTTACAGCTTATAGACAGAGCCAAATATTGCATCATTTGATCTGCTTATCTAGTAAAACAAAAGGAAACCTTATTTTAGCACCACTCGCTTGACTGATACACACAGGGCATCACAGAGAGATGCCAGGGCAAAGATGGCCATGGCCGCTTGGCTGTCATGTAATGCATTCCCTGCATAAAATGAAGGCTGAAGATATTAAAAAACAAGTCTCATTCAGTCCCAGCTCTGACTTCTGAGCTCCGAGGTAAATGGAAAGCAGCATAAATGTAATAACAGCGTTAGCGCATGACGTGCAGCGATGCTTCTGTTGCCTGTATTGTCCACTTCACAGAACCACAGGGCAAATATTTCAATCAGACTGATTCAATAGAAACCGTTCACAGAACCACAGGGCAAATATTTCAGTCAGAATGATTCAATAGATACCAATTGTACCCAACCCAACTCAGAATTAAAACCGATAATGCAAACATCCCAGTCAACTTGTTTGCTTGCCTGCTTCAAGATAAACAAGCACAAAAATAAAATCTGCAAAAGACAGTTTATAGATTTCCAAAATTTGAGGCATGTCAAGGGGAAAAATATGACAGCCATGATCAATCACAAACTCATCAAGGCACACAGTAATCAGTGCAGTTTCTGCTCAGTGAAGCATTACATTAGTCCATGCACCAATTGTGTGGTGTCACTTCAACAAGGTGGCCCATTTAAGCTGTCAGCTCCACATTCCTTTGTGCAGCAGCTACTGCTCACAAACTGCTGCTACTGGTGGAGCTGCTGGCACTTCTTCCACCACAGAAGCCTCCGCCTTATCAATCAGCACAATGCGATGGTGCAGTGGGTCTCTGTGGGCTTGTCTGTTGAATTTATGTGTTCAATATCTCACAGTTTGTGTCTGCTCTATTTATGCTGGGTAAGTTAACTGCACTCCTGCTGACAGCTTGGCGTGCTGCTTGGATCCGAATATGGAGAGCTGAGTCTGTACAATTCAAGCAACTGTAGGGACAGTAAATAGTTCTACGTGACAAGAGTGAGCATCAGGTTATATCTGGTTAGTGACCAGATAGGGCTTACCATTTCCAAAAAGAAAAGCCAACAAGAAATCAGTTTTACCATCCATAAGATGGATGAATGGCGACATACTCTAATGCCTTTGCTGCTTAGCAACACAAAAGAAGCAAATTCATTTACACAGCTGTTGATTTACCCAACAGGCCAGAGGCAAACATTTCATCCTAATTTCAGTGTATTTACATTAAAAAAATCAATGTGTACTTTAAACTGCCACTATAATACATTTTTGGGGCATTTTTTGATTGATAGTAAACCTTATACTTGAGTGCCGGACAGGAAATGTGGGTGGAGAGAGAAATAGTGACATGTGACAGAGGTCCATCGCCAGACCAAACCGTCACCAGCACAATGCCACAGAATCAGCCGATACAAGTACTGTTGTTCAAAGACATTTTTTTGTATCACAGTGCAATGGCCTGAAGAAAGGCAACACACATTTATATAAAGCCTCACTGATAAAAGCAAATTAGTCTTTTCAAATGATAAAACCAGCAACAAAAAAAAAGAATAATCAAGCCACCTTAACAATAATGCTAGTACACTGTGTGCACAATTATTAGGCAAGTTGTATTTTTGAGGATTAATTTTGTTATTGCACAACTACAGTGCTCTTGGTCAGTGTAGACCTGATGTGCCAGCTAAATATTGTTCGCAGTACAAAATGTTGGAGTACACTCGTTTCTTGCCCACTACAAGTAAACACAGTGCACTGGGACGATATGCTGTGTAGTGTACTTTGTAAGTGGGACACTCTAGTAAGCAAATCTAAAAACATTAGTTTAACTAGACTGATTTGTTAT